TTGGTTGGCTTCAATCAAATGTCCATTCCTCAACCACTCACATTAAAACCCACAGCCAGGCCTGGGTCAGTTGCCTACTCCTAGTCCCTGGGGATGGTCCCAGCCCCCGTGGAAGCACATGATAGAGAGTATGGGATACAGGTGATGAGTCCCCCAAAAGCAAGGTTCCCAAAAGAAGGGCCTAACCAATGGGAGGACATGGACCACTGATGCTTTTAAAGCTGTGCAGACAGGACAGAAAACTCCAGATACCCAGGAGAGGTCGGATGGCCTGGGGCCTAAAGTGTTGGCCTTCAGCCCCATTGCTGCCCCTTGGCCACCATCAGCCCATCCTCCTGACAGATGAAGCACCAGGGGAGTCTGGGAGGAAGGGTGAAGGCAGCGGGGTGGCTGTCAGAGCCTGTGCATGAGGAAATAAGTCAGCTGGCCAGCTCCAGGCTGAGTGATCAATGCCTACATCCTGACAGGGTGGGAGGGACTCAGTGTCCTGTTTCCAGGGCCGGCAGCCATTCCTGAAGTTCTGCTCTCCTCAGATCAATGCCACAGTGTAAGCCAGGGGCCTGTGGGCACCTGGGGACAGGGAGGGGTATGTGGCCTTGAGGGAGCACCCCTTCGCAGCACTACTGACAAAGGGCCACCAAGGTTTGGCAGCTCACGTCCTCCCAGGCAATTACTTTCACTGCAAGACCTTAGACCCATCTGGGCATCGTTTCTTCATCTACCAAATGGGCTGGCATCTATCTGCCTATCAACTGGAGCAAATACATCATCCTTCATCATGAGTTCATGTAATGGGCATGTAACCTGGAGCTTCGCACAGGCCAAATATAAAATTAGCATCATCCATTGTTACCATCGTTGTTGTTATTCTTGGGGAAAATGGAGTGGAGGGAAGGGACTGGGCTAACAGCAGGACTCCCAGGCCCAAACTGTGCTATGCCACTCACTGCCGGAGTGATCAGAGGCCTCTCCCTCCCTCTGGGCATTGGTGGAATGCAACCCTGCACCTCTTGACTTCCGGGCAGGGTTTTGTGCATCCCACCAGAAATGCATATACTGGACCAGCTTACAGAAATACATACACCTCCACCTTACGAGGGTGGAGGTAAGAGGCAGGGTAAGCCCCAAACCCTGGACACCTGCCTGGAGGAGGATGCAAGGCTTCTGCTGAGAGCCGACCTGTGATCTCCTGGGTCTCTCCATCCTGTGCTTATTTGTTTTCATTCTGCAGATTCACAACGGGCCCACTGCGTGCTGAGCCCTAGCTATGTACACTCTGGACAAATGATTCCTTGCCCTTAACAGAGCCAACATGCCTCAGAGGAGACCAACAGTAAATGAGATGCTTCAGAGAGTGGCCAGTATGGGAAGGAAGTAAAACAGGCCATGGGAGACCCCAGTGGACATTTTTCAAAAGGTGCTGTCTGAGCAGCCCCTGAATGAAGAGCCGTTTGGGGAAAGAGCCCAGCAACAGAAGTAAGCTGGTGGCCTGTGAGGGCCTGGATGGTGGGCCAATATATCTGGAACAGGAATGCCAAGAGAGCGGGGCGAGATGAAGCCAGGCAGGTCCTGGGACTCAGAGACTTTGGGTCTCACGTCTGCCCTGGGAGAGTTTGAACTGGACATGCCATAAGCCCATTTTATGTTTCAAGGGTCTCCTGACTCAGAGACCACAGCTAGAGTAAAATCTAGGTGGGGTTGGAGAAATCTGGGTGGACTCCTGGGAGAAGGTGGCCATTGAAGCCCTGGGAGGATTCTGGGGCACACTGGTATAGCTGCCTGTGGGGCCAGACAAAGAGACACCAGTGAGGGACTATCTGGTTTTCACATCTCAATCAATGATTAATTTATGACTGAAAATGCATCGGCATTGTCATATTGAAACATGAATATTATAAGAGACAGCAGCTTTGAACCTGCTGCCCATTTGGACCAGCAAACTCCATCTAACAGGGCGTCCCCTCCACACTGACAGCTTTGTGGCCTTGGAAGCAACTCCCCTGTTGGGGCTTTTCTTTCCTCAAATGAAGGAATGGTTCCAAACAGGCTGAGGGGCTATTTGGCCTCCCAGCCTGTGGCTCTGAGGATACCTAGGTCAGCAACTGTTTTCTGAGTAGTTATTATGTGCCAGGCCCAAGGCTGAGAGGGCCTGGGCCCCACCCTGGAGGAGAAGAAAGAGAATTTTAGTTTAAGAGGAAGCTGGGTACAGGGACACAGTGGAAAAGGGTTGGGAAGGTATGTATGTTGCTAGAACTCCTACTGCGTGGGGGACATCGAACTCCTTTTCATCTCATCGGCTTCTGCTGTGGCCTCAGGAGAGGTATTATTATCCTTATTGTTGTGGCTATTACTATAACCCCCATTTGACAGAGTGGGACCTCGGCTAGGGGGCTAGGGACATGTCCAGAGTCCCCTCCCACCTCGCCCTGCTCAGCCTCCCCTCAACAGTAGAGGGCAGAGTGGCTGTGGACTGTTCTCTGGAGGGTGGTGAGCCCCTCTGCTCACAGACAGGAAACCCTGGGGTAGGTAGGTGTGTGAACTGGTTAGAGAGACACCAGTGCACATCCCTACCCCTCTGTGCCTTAGTCCCTGCATCTGGCACATGGGCGTGCTCCCCATTGAGAGGCTGGCACCCCACATAGTCCTGCAAAGGGCCATGTGTCCAGGGCCCATAACAGCTGCTCAGGGGATGTGATTATGATTGAGAATTCAGACGTAGCAGGTGGGTCAGGAGGGTGGGATGTGGAGCCTAAAGAGCAGTGGCCTGGGGAGTCAGGCCTTAACCTCTGCAAGGACATTCTTTGCTGGGTGATCTTGGACAAGACACTTTCTGTTTCTGTGAAAGGGGTCTGATAATGGTTCTAGGGAATGGCTCTAGGGAGAAGGTCTGGCTTGCCTTCCACTGGCCCTCTTGGTGAGCAGCAGGGTGGGGGCTATGTGTGTGTAGGGGGGTTAAGGTTGAGGATGCCCTGGGCTCACCTGCTCATCCTAGGAGCTGTTAGACTCCTAGACACAGAAGTATCCCCAGTGTTCCTGTCCTTTACCCAGCCAAGACCTGGTCTCCCAGCTGAGGGGATGCAGCTGGCTCCTCTGGGGGCCCATGATAGGTCGTCACAGGAGGGATGTCTTGGGGCCCATTCCTTCTGGGGTGGAACTGTGCCCTCTGTGTTCTAGAAAACGGGGCAGGGTAGGGTGGGAAGCTGAGTCACTTCCCTCCTTGGTCACTTTGAGGGAGAAGGAGGAAAGGTTTCCTGAAGCTTTTGGTCCCCTGGGAGGTGGGTCTCCAAGGAGGAGGAAGAAACCAGGACACTGTGTGCCAGTCAGGGGCAATGTAGAGGTGTTAGGCTGGAATCTCTTGGGATATCCTTCTCTCCACTGAGCCCTAGGTAGCTGTCCCTGGCAAGAGGGAAGAGCTCTCTTTGGGGGTGGGGTAGAACAGACCTGGCTCTAAGACCTGCCTCCATCTTCAATAGCTCTGTGACAGGCAAGTGACCACCCCTCTCTGAGCCTCAGTTTTTTTACCTGTAAAATAGGGCCAGTGACCCCAGAGGGTCGTAGTGACAATGAAATAATTCTAGCCAGGTCCTTAATACAGAGCCTTGTGTGTATTGAGTGCTCCCCCCCCCCCCAATCATAGCTGTGCTAGGCACTCTGGGTAGACTCTGCACTCACTGAATCCTCACTGCAGCTCTAGGAGGTAGGAAATCTCACTCACTACCTCCACTTGATGATGTGAAAGTGTGGCCTGGAGAGCTGAAGTTACCTGCCTTCACAGCCCATCAGTGGAGGTGGTAGGGTTCAAACCCTAGACAGCATGAGGTTGGTGAACTCTCTGGGTGGCCTAGGCCAGGAGACATCTACTAGCTAGCTGCTGGGGCCAGGTGCCTGGAGCAGGAGCCTGAGGCTGGTAGGGCCTGCAGACAGCTCTATCTGAGCTGCCAGCAATCTGGGCGTTGGCCAGAGAGCCATCCTCCTCAGTTAGAATCCTGCAGCCAGTCTCCCTGCTGTGCAGACACATAATTATATTTCACATTAAAAAGGGAACTAGAGGCTGAGGGGACCAGGGAGCGCTTTCAGGGTTGTGCTCCAAGCACAGACCTGCCTCCTTAGCTCAATTCTGTGGCCCCAAGGTTGAGCATGGGGTCAGATTGGTGATAAAATGGGGTCTCCCTGGGCCAAGGCCCAGCTAGGCAGGTCTGTCTGCCAGGATGAAACGCCTGGGCCCTGCAGGAGGCTGAGAGATCTGAGACCTAGACAATAGGCCCCAGGAGGTTGGGAGGGCAGGGCTCATGGGGACAGGCTGGGAAAAAAGCCTGAACCTCCGGAGGCAGGGGTAGCAAGAGAAGAGGGTCACATGGGATTCAGGTCTGCAAAGAGGGAGAGCAGGGGGAGGAGCACAGAGGAGAAAGCAGGAGATGGGAGAAGCCAAACAGAGCACAAGATGGGAGGGGAAAATGCTATTAAAGAGGGGGTGATGATGTGTGCATATGAATGTGCATGCCTGGTGTGCAAGGGGAAAAGATCCAGTGCGAATGTACAAGCCAAGATCTGTGTGCACATTTGCATATGTGCAGACACTACCCTGCATGTGTACTTATGAGTGTGTATGCACCTGTGCACCTGCAACCATCATGGATGTCAGGGCACGCATTTTGCGCATGTGGATACAGACGCCTGAACTTGTGTGCTGGCTGTGTGCAAGATTCCTTTGCCTGTGTGTGCACTCTCCATGCACCTGTGTGTGCTTGTGTCCCTGGAGGACATGCCTCTCTGTGTGTGTGTGTGTGTGTGTGTGTGCGCGCGCACACACACACACACACGCGCGCGCGCTCGCGCGCCAGTGCTCAAGTGGCTGGTGGTTGTGTGGAGGGGGCATCCCTGGGCTGGGGAGGCGCATAGCTAGGCCAGCGCCCGGGAGGGCGGGGGCAGCAGCCGCGCGGCGCGGGGCGGGCGTGCTCTCGGTGGAGAGTTAGAGGAGTTGCCGAGCTGGGTTCTGGTAGCAGCGGGGCGCGGAGCTGGGTGCGAGCCGAGCCTCAGACTCCCGCCGCCACCTCGCCCTCCATCCTTCTCTCACCGCCTTCCCTGGGCCTGGCCGCTGCCACCGCCTCCCTGGGAACCGGAGCCAGGATCGAGGGGGCTGGTGCGACCAGAGCCGGCAAGGAGGCGCGGGGCGGTGCGGAGCGCCGGGGCGTGGGGAGCGCGCCGGGCCTGCCCGGGATCAGATAACAGCCGGCGGGGGAGGGGGTGCGCCGGCCACGCTCACAGCCCAACCGAAGGACGGACTCTAGCCGCGCGGGCCGGACAGAGCGCCCCGCGCCCGGGGGCGCCGTCCAGGCGCGCTCTCCCGATCCGTGGCTGTACCGGGGCGATCGGCGCCCGGGACCAACGCGCCCCTCGGCATGGAGCGCTCCTGGGTGTTGCCCTGAGGCGGCAGCGGCGATGCAGCCAGCGCGGCGGCGGCCGGGGCCAGGAACGGCCGCCCGGAGCTCGGAGGACGCGGAGCGCGCCGCGCCCGGGGCACTGACCGAGGTAAGTGCGCGGCCGCCCGGCGCACGGACCCCGGGGGCCCGGCTCCAGCTCCCCGCAGGCCCCTTCCCGGCCCGGAGTGAGCTTGAGATGGTGCAGCAACAGGGAAGGTGACGCGGGAGGGTTTTCTTCCCTCTCGTTTTTTTTTTTTTTTCTCTCTCTCTTGGTGAGCCATTGGAGGAAATGCTGACTACAAGCTTTTTTCTTCCTCTGCCATGTCTCCGGCTAAGCCACCAAGGAACTTTGCTCATTGCTAACCTTCGTCCTGGGGGCGCTCCGGGAAACTTTGAGGCGCCTTCGTTTCCTTCTGGCCGACTTGCACGAGGGGGCTCGAGAGGGAGCGTGGGGAGACACTTTCCCGCGCGGCATCAGCCCTAAGCGTGACCTTCCCGGAGATCCCGGGATCAGGGTGGGGGGCGGATGAGGGCGCCGTCTACCAGCGGCCCGCAGGCCCGAGATCTGCGGATCCTTGGAGTCGTTTCGCTTTCTCACTTTCTGTGCTCTAGTGGAGTAAAAATATTCTAGAAATGGTGTTCTCCGCTAGCCAGCGAGCCGACGACTCCAGCCGGAGCTTCTTGCTTTTAGAAATGGGCCTTGACCGCGGAGGAGATGGCCCTGCAGCTAAGAAGCCCCCCTGCGTTTCAGGGCCGGGTCCCTCCCCCCACGTGCTCACTTCTGCTCTGGATGTCCTGGAGAGGGGAGAGGGAGGAGGGAGATGGGGGGAGGGAGGGCAGATGGGGAAGGCAGGGCTCCCTGGAAGGCAACTGGGGTGGGGAGCTCCTGGGAGGGGAGTTCAAAGGCGAGCTGAAGCCCAAGGAGGTGTCTGTGTTGCCTGTTTGGATGGAATGTGCACAAGTCATGTGAATACCTTAAAACCTGTGTTCGGAATGGGAGGGAGGTCACGGGAAATTGTTTCTTTGGAGGTGGTCTTCCATCCTGGGAGGTTCTTCTGCCTCCCTACAGCCTGTACTTGCTGGGACCTGGGGCCACTTGCTCCCCATTTCTTAGAGGGCATGCCCATCCTGAGTGCTGTGCTACCTGTGACCATTTCTACTTCCTTGTTTCCTCCCTCTGCCCAGGCCAGAGCCCTGGAATAAAGTGGTGGGGACCTCCTGCTCCCCAGATCCACATCCCGGAACCCGGGTTCACAGGCTCCATCTCCCTGGAGCACAGAGGCATCCTCAAGCCTCTGAAATCAGCGGCCGCCTCCTCAAAGGTGCCAACCCAGAAGGCATTATAATGCCTTCCATCCTACCCCTCACCCCCTCCCTGAAGTGCCAAAGGAAAGCTATCCTGCCCCCCAAACCCAGTCTCACCTTGTGCTAGGTTGCTCCAGACCCTGGACCACCGCCATGTGGCCAGAGAGTAAGCGAGAAGATCCCAGCCCTGGGCACTGCCACAGGAAGCTCATAGTCTTTTTGTGGAGTATTACCTCTTCTGTTCTGAGAAGAGCATCCCTGTCCCATGCTGGGACTCTAAGACTCCTCAGCAAAGTCTAAGGCTTTCTGGTGGCCCCTCCCCTGCAGCCAGGGGACTGGAGTTTGGCAGTTCCAAGAGGGAGACCTTGGAAGGGCTCCCATCACGTGGGTCCAGGACCCATGAGGGAGAGCAGGGTGCAGAGGAGCAGGGGCTTGCTTGAGCACACCTGGGGACAAAAAAGGGGGCTCCAGTGTGCTTTACAACAGGGAAGGTCCCTCTTCTCCACTGGAGCACTACTGAGTGTATACAGTGGGCGCTCTAAATACTAGGTGTTGACACAGACTTGGCAGTCAACTAACTCCAAGTCCCCCACCACCTCCTTGTCCCTCTCTCCCTGTGAGGGCACAGCAGAACCGCCTCCCCGACCCTGAAGGGGATGACCTTTCTCTTGGGGGAAGGGGCAGAGCCTGAGTTTGTCAGCCCATCCTGTAGCCCCCCATGACCAACTGCCACATCAGACCCCCGTAGGGCTTTGAGTTTGCTCAGGAGGGAGCCCCTCTAGATGAGTGCCTGGTGGAGGGATGTTCAGTGAGCTGTGCTGTGCTGGGAGGAAGAGGTACCCAGAGAAGGGCAGAGTCTTGTCCAAAGCCCCACAGCAAGTCAAGGGTTTGAGCAGAAGCCCCCACCTAGTTCTTCCCTGCCAGGCTCCTGTCCCAGGGCCAAGGCACCCCTTCCTTCAAGTTTGCTTTGCCCCCAAAGCAGGACAAGGTAACATTGGTGGCCCTGTGGCAGTGAACTAATAATAATGGCAATGGCAGTAGTTATAATAGTAACGGACAGCAGCACTCTGCAGCACTGGGACTGGTTCTGCCTGGGGGCAGTTTGCCCTGGCCTGACTAGGCCTCTGTGCCTTGGGCTATAGCATGGCATCCAGAGGCCTTGGCACACGTCTGGAGTGGAAGCAACTGCATCGTCACTCTCGGCAACCTCTGTGGCCCTTGCCTGGTCCCAGGTTGAAGGGTGCTGGTGCTCCCTCAGAGGCCACCTGATGCCCACCCTCAGTCCTGCTGCTTCCAGGCCCAGCTCTGGGCTTGGCCACCCTCTCACAGGTGCAGCTGGTGTTTGTTGCTGGGTTCCCGCCAGGGCTTTGCTTTGAGCAACACATGGGCACACCTGCCTCTCCCCTGGGGCCTGCAACTGGAGCACTGCCACGGGCTGGCACAGAGGAGAGGCTGGGAGGAAGGCAACTTGTGGGCAGTAGGAGGAGTGGAAGCTAGGTCCACACTTGGAAGGTGTGGTTGGTGTGTGGGCTTAGTCCCAAGGGATGGCTGCACCAGGGGAATTGGCAGCATGATAGGGAGACAGAAAGGGCTGAAGATGAAAGCCAGCCTGAAACTGGGCAATGGGCTGGGCAGGGAGGCTAGAGGCTTCAGAAGAGCTTTGGGGTGGAGTTGGGGGGCTGCATCAAAGCAGGCAGGCTTTCCAGAGGAGCTGGTGCCGAGGGCAGGATTGGAGCCCTTGCTGGGCCCTGGCTGAGGACCCAGCTCTATGCCAGCTGATTTAGTTTCCTAATGGTCTGCCAGTGCAGAGGGTGGCTTTCGCTCCATTGTACAGATGGGAGATTTGAGGCCCTGGGAGGGACTGGAACCTACGCCCCTCGCTTCCAGAACCCTGGAACTCTCCCAGAGACAGCTGTATCTTCCCTCATTCCACAGACACCCCGCCAGGTGCCTTTGTGTGCCAGGTTGGCTGTGGGACCGCCAGAATGACATGGCATCCCCTCCTGACACCCCTCCACCCCGGGCTGGTCCTACACAGGCCCTAGTGCAACTCCCAGGTTGCTGTATCCCTGGGACCTAGTGAAGGCCTGAGATGCAGTAGGTGCTCAGAAAATGTTAGTTGGTCCGTGTCTGGGCTGCTTTCTTTGGCTACAGAGGCCACAATGGGGCCTTGCTGTGCTGGCATGAGTTGTGGCTGGTCGTGAACTCTGGGGTGACTGTGAGCTCTTGGGGTGTGGCCCTGGCACCCCAATGCTTAGCTGGGCCCCAGTGCAGTGTCTGGCGTACAGAAGATGCTTAATAAACCAGTGTTGAATAAATGGAGACCTGGCTCCTGCCCTCAAGGATCTTAGCATTTAGGAGGAGACTTCCGGGCAGACAGCTAGGGCGGGCAAGGCTTCTGGTGTGACTGTGGCTGAGTCACTTCTCCTCTTGGGCCTCAGTTTATCATCTGTGAAGTGAGATTGAAACCCCAGCTGGGGAGCCTGCTGAGAGCACACAGGATGGGAGAGTAGAAATGTGAGCCTCTTTGTGTGCCTCTGGGCATGGGGTCTCAACAGAAATAGGGGTGTGTAAAGGGGGCTCCATGAAGGAGTGGGATGTGAGTATTGGTGGTGCCAGAGCCTTGGGAATTCGTCATTCCAGTCCAGCCTTCCCTTTGACATGTAAGGAAAGTGAGACCCACAGAGGATAGGTGATTTGCTGCAGAAAAAGAGGGCCTCAAACACAGGCCGCCTGCTCCTGCTGTGTCCTCTATACCCCCTTCCCTACCCACTTCCTCCACCAGCTCCCTGATGTGCCACAGCTCAGGTCTTCCTGCCTGGCTGCTGAAATGGCAGTTGTAGAGGCAGTGAGAGGCTGCGGGGACCTTAGGGACCCCTGGTCCAGCCCCTAACTGGCCTTTTGTAGCACTGGACACAGTTCTGTTTGCATGGCCAGATAGCAGTGGAAGCCCCCTTTTTAGTGGCCTCAGGGAGCAGGTCTGCTGTGGCTGTGCATTAATGCTGCCACAGACTCAGTAGAAGGGGCCTCCTAGATCCTCCTGGGGCCACCTCCCCATTAGTTTGGACTGAGCTCTTTCACCTCCTGGGGCAGCTGAAGCCTCTCCCTCCTCTGCTCACCAGTGGTCTGGGCCTCTCTGGAGGACTCAGGCTTGGAGAGGGGCTAGGGAGTTAAAAAAAAAAAAAAAAGCTCTTAGAGTGGACACTTTTGCCAGTGCCACCCCCGGTCGTGGTCGCTTAAGCACCAAATATGTACTTGATACACTCTGGGTGCTTTAGTCTCGGAACAGCCCTGGGCTCAGGACCCTCCCATGGCTCCCCTGTCACCCAGAATAAACAGCACACTCCTCACTGCGGTCAGTCCACAAGACTCTGCACAGCCTGTCAGGCCATCCCTCACCTCCCTTCTTACTGTGCCTCCAACACACCAGGTCTGCTCCTGCCCCAGGGCCTTTGCTTGCTGCTCCCTTTGCCTGAAGCACTCTCCCCCAGATCTCCACTCAGCCCCTTCCCTCACCTCCTTCAGGTCTTACCCAAATGGCACCTCCTCCATGAGGCTTCTCCTGGCTGTTCTGGATAACAAGGTGGCCTCCCTTTTTCTGCAGTCCCTATCCTGCTTTTTTCTTCTGTAGAACTTAATGCCACCTGCCACGTTATATTTTATTTGCTTATCTTGCTTACTGCCTGTTCCCCCTGGAATGTAAGCTCCCCAGGTGCATGGGTTTTGGTCCGGTTTGCTCACAACAATGCCCACAGTGCTACAGCAGTGCCCAGTGTATACAGGTGCTCAGTTTCCATACATGGT